AAATAATGACAACAAATAGTCTTTATTCTCTATGGTACAAGAAACCAATTGCAAGCCCATCTGTGTGAGACCTAGCTAATAAGAACATTATTTGAGAGGGGTACAAAGAGAAGGATGGATTGCCAAGGGGGAAAAGTCATTTTTAAACTGTGATAAGCTTTTGTATGTTTGCATTACCATTGACCAACTGCTTAGCTCTCTGCCACCTCCCTCCAAAGCTGTTACAGCAGCCAACCTGGTTTAGGGCCCACCTCTAACACACCAGCACCCTCTTCCGACCCTTCTGCAGTACTGCATGCACTCAGATTACTGAAGTGGAAAACTCTGATTAATAAAGCCATAAATTAGTAACTCTGCAGGTAATATTTCCAGATAATTTTATATTTGTAATCCCTGAATAAACTTAATCTTAATAAAAATAGGAAAGAGCAGATCTTCTAAATAAAACTTATGCCAATGAAAGAGAAAATGAACTATGTTCTTTAATATCTTAAAGGTTTCATACATTAGCTGATTTTATTATAAGAATTATAATAATGAAGACAATAACTAATGTAAAAAAAACCTCACTACGTGCCAGGCAGTAGGCATGAATAAAAAACTAGTTTTAACAACACAAAATTATGAGTCAAGCACTAGTATTCTCTTCGTCTCACAGCTGTGACAAGTGAGGCAAAAGAAGTTAAACATGAGCCCTGCATCATGCACCTGGCAATAAATGTTTGTAAAGCTGATGTTCAAACTCAGTAAACATGCCTCTAGAGCCAGAGCCTGAACCACCACTGCATCTCGGGAGTTTAGACCCAAAAGCCTCTGTGAGGTGGAATGGAGCAGATATCATGATAAAATGAAACATAATTAAAATACAAAACTGTAAGTTATAAGAAAAATGACAAATATGTCATTTGAATCTCTTATTTTCAACAAAGGCCCAAACTGTACAGATAAAAATAGTACATGAAACAGCTTTGTCTCCTCTCTATTCCTCCTCACTTGAAGATTCTGATCTTATAGGAATATAATGTTTTTATTCTTTCTTTTTCCTCTTCATTTCTTTCTTCCATCAAACTATGCCTTTATCTACTATCTGGTTCTTTAAAAGAAAAAAGAACTAATCTACATCATATGCATTATTTCTCTTCTGTAAAGCAGAACTACTTACCCATGCCTACCTAAATTACCTATTTCACTGACATCTTTAAAAAATGTTATATTAAGACAGCAAATCAAAATGGCACCATCAATTCCTTCTCTTTGATCATTGAAAATAAGATGGATAAGGCCGGGCATGGTGGCTCACGCCTGTAATCCTAGCACTCTGGGATTCCAGGCGTGAGGACTGCTCAAGGTCAGGAGTTCGAACCAGCCTGAGCAAGAGTGAGACCCGTCTCTACTAAAAATAGAAATTAATTGAACCACTAAAAAATAACACATGGTTTTATTTAGTTGGAGTGTGTTATCTTCAATATCTGAGATTCTTTCTTCTGCTTGATCTACCCTGTTCTTGAGACTTTCCACTGTATTTTGTAGTTCCCTGAATTGATTCATCATTTCCAGGAGTTCGGTTAAAGTTTTCTTCATTGTGTCTATTTCTTTAGTGAACTTTTGTTCTAGGTCCTGGAGGCTTTTGGTGGTTTCTTTGTGTTGGTTATTGAGTTGTTGTTGCAGTTCGGTGAGTGTTCTTATGATCCACATACGAAATTCCTCTTCTGTCATTTTGGTTGCCTGATTTGGGTTGGTGTCCGTTTCTAGGGGGCTGGTTCTCCTCTTTGGGGGTGTGTTTTCCATTTGGTTCTTCATATTTCCTGAGTTCTTTCGCTGATTTCTTCCCATGTCGATCAGTTGTTGTTTCTTTCCTTTAGGTTTCTGTTTGGGTGCTCACACGCCTTGTTTAGTTTCTGAGCCATTAGGTGGTGTCTGTGGGTGAGATTCGACCACTGCCAGTATAATGAGTCAGTAGGTCCCGTGAAAAGGCTGTGCAGGATGCTGTCCCTGTCAGTAGGTGGCACTTGCTTGGAGGAGCAGGCTCTGCTGTTGTTTTTGTGTGTTATCAGCTCTTGTTCTGGGTGGAGCTGGGTTGGGTAAGCCTGCCCTCAGGCACCACCAATGCCGTTAGCAGGGGTCAGAGTTTTGTTCTGTTTCCAGGAAAAGCTGTCAGGGCGGGGCTGGAATGGTCCCGCTCAGCCAGAAAGTCTGCTTGTGGGGGTGGGGCTGTCTGAGACCCGCAGTCTGGAGTGGGCCTCGCTTCTTTCCACCGTCCCCAACTCCACAGCTACTCCTGGGCCTCTGCCAGGAGACCAGACCACATGCCACCAGGCCTCCCCAGATTGTGATGCTGGCGGGGAGGTTCCCTGCGCAGGAACACCACCTGGGCTGGGCTCACGGCCTCCCTTTGAGGGGAGGGTTGCCCTCTAGGACCCTGATCTGCCCCTGGAGGCACACACACCTCAGCAGGCTGTTCACAAATATCCTTTCTGTGCCCTGGGCAATGCTAGACCTCGGTGCACGGGATCTGGTCTGCAGGTCCGACCTCTGGGTCCCAGAGTTCAAACTGTATCCCCACCAGGGAGAGGAGTTCCGGTCCCAATTCACCCACAGGGAGCCCAAGCTGTGTCTGTGTCTCTCAGCCTCTGAGTTGGCACCATTCTCCTGGGAACACCGTGCCAGCAGCACCTGGGAGGGCTGGCTCTTGATGCCATACCAGGGACCTCCCATTGAATTTATTTCTAGATGAGTTCTCAGTGTACAGAGTAGAGCTGATTTATCAATAAACTAAAATAATGTAGACCCTTAGTGCCTCAAAGTAGTACTTTTTTTCCTTGCTTCTGCTGAAATTGTGTTTTAGAATTGTTTATATAGGTGAGCAGTGTCATCCATATCTAGTGGCAGTAGAAGGAAGTAGTTCTTTTGTCAGAGGTGACCATCCAGCACAGTGTAAAGAACTGCCCTACTTTAGGCTCCTGGCACTGCAGCTAGGATGCTGCTGATGTGCACCTTCTGCTTACAGTCCCCTAGGGCCAGGATGGGGCCTCTTTGAGTTAGAGTCTATACAACTACTTTGGTATTAGAATTCATCTTTCTGACTCTGCTAATTATGGTATGCTATAGAGACCATGACTCTGGCTTGATTGATAGGTTGGGACTAGCCACAAAGACCATTGGAGAAGGGGAAACAGTTCATGTTAGTAGAGATGAGAAAGAGTTTAGGATGAAAAAATTGTATAGCTTCAGAGAGAGATAGGCATTGTTCATAACATGAGAGTAACAAAGAAAAGAAAGATTTAATGATTGCTGTCTTCATTCATTCAACAGTTATTGTGGATACCAGCTGAGGACTCTTTTGAGCATTGAGGACACGTGGTGAATAAACAAAGGTTGCTGCTGATCTGTATCTATATTTAGTATATCTCTGTAAATAGCTGCTTAGAAAAAGAGGCTGTGTACCACTAACAGAGATGGGGTTTGGAATATTTTCGGTGAATGTTTTTCTTTCTCACTGTTCTAGACAGATTGTTGTTCTGTCATGATGCTGTGAGCAGTGCAAAGTCCAATAGGAATTTAGGGTTTGGGCTGGGGGCAGGTGCTACAGGATAGCAATGGTGTGATACTCAAACCTGCTGGGGAAGGTGGACTGGCCAGTTTTTGGGTGCTCCTTCCTTTCTTAGCATCCCTTTATACCCAAGGCAGGGTATGGGTTTAGAAAAAGAGCTTTGTCAGAGCAGAGGTACAGATTGTTAAACCAGAGCCTTTCTGATCTGGGAGGCTTATTTCCTGCCACCCCATTCCAGATGGAGAGTGACACTGCTCATAGTGGTGATGGGATATTATATCTTGTTTGTGGGGAGAAGTAATAACATTAAGCCTAGAAATTGACAGGAAAACATGAGTTTAAGTATGGGTCTTAATACACCAAGACAGTCAGAATGGATGTATATGTTTCAACCAAAAGATAAAACTCAGTTTATCCAGTGGAGAATAGAAAAGAATTGGGTGTGGGGAGACATGATGATATGCAGATGCTATGAAAAAGGCGGCTAAGAGAAGTATGAATAAATAACAGGAAAGGCATACAAATGAGTTAAACTTGGATTAAATAAATCTGAATTGGG